GAGGCTGTCAGATCCCCTGGGACTGGAGTTATGGACAGTTGTTAGCTGCCACGTGGGTGCTGGGATTCGAACCCAGGTCTTCTGCAAGAACAACCAGTGTTCTTAACCGCTGAGCCATCTCTCCAGCCCCTCAGGTTTGTTTCTTTTAGTTAGCAGGCAGGGCCTCTCTTGAGATAGCCGCCATGGGCCTCGCTTCCTTCCTGCTTCCATTTGGTCTCTTCCAAGCCCAAGGGGGAGTTTATCCCGTCTCCTTTGCACATGCATATCTTGATGGTGTTGTGGTGTTGGGTTTGGTGACAGGCTGTGGAGCACCTGGGATTACAGCTGTATACCACCTCTTGGGAGGCTGAGGCCAAAGGTTTGTGAGGCCAGCCCGGGCTACATAGTGAGAAGTTGTCCAAAACAAATCCAGTAAGACAGGGCAAGGACAGTGGTATGTACTCACTGTTAAGGGCATTCCAGAAGGGGCTTTGAAGGGCAAAGAGGAGCCCCAAAAATGGGAAGGAGAGAGTCTGATGGAGGAAATGAACAAAGAAAGGTTAGGGTGGATATAGTGTCACTTGCCAGGGCAGCAGGGCAATGGGGTTGCTGGCAGGAGGGGAGATGGGAAGCAGGGGCTACGCTAAGGAGGGCAGGCTCTGGTAGGCTGGGGGTCAAAGGCCACATTCTCTTGAAGGGCAAAGAGGAGCCCCAAAAATGGGAAGGAGAGAGTCTGATGGAGGAAATGAACAAAGAAAGGTTAGGGTGGATAGAGTGTCACTTGCCAGGGCAGCAGGGCAATGGGGTTGCTGGCAGGAGGGGAGATGGGAAGCAGGGGCTACGCTAAGGAGGGCAGGCTCTGGTAGGCTGGGGGTCAAAGGCCACATTCTCTTATTTTGCCCAGAACAGTCTTTTCCTTTTTTTTTTTTTTTGGTGTATGTCAAAGTTTGTGTAAATAACTGATTCCAAGGTAGTTTTTTACTTTTAGCCTTAATGATAAGATCTCTGCAGCCAATTTCAGAATCACTGTCTAGGAGGGTGAGTGCTTATAGACCAATAAGATACACAGCCATCTGTAAACTCCGTACCTGTCCTCAGGGCTGTCCTAGCAAGCTACTTAAATAATAAATAGGAGAAAACTGCTATGACATAACAAAACAATGCCAAGCTGGGTCTTGTGGGGGAGGGAAGGCCTCATCTCGGAGGTTCGGTGCCTGCTCCTTTGCTGCAGGCAAGGCCCCGGTAGAGCCTTTGGCTGGGAGAGGAGGCCTGTTAGAGCTGTTTCACCATGAAGTGACTGAGGACAGCTAGATGTTTTTTGTTCCATAAAGTTCCAGGTGTCTGGGCACAGTCTCTATAACCTGCCGAGAGAATGGTTGTGGTGGGTAGGACAGGGCTGTGGGAAGGGGGCGGTGGGACGGGAAAACAGATGGCTTCATGAATCAGGCATCTGTGCAGGTGCACAGAGCCCCGGGCTTAGAGGGCCCACTGCTGGGATGAGGCCTGTATTGTTGCTGTCTTTAAATTCTAGAAGGGAATTCCATCGTGCACCTGGCCCTGCAGACTATGTATGGGGGAGAACAGATGAAGACAGTGGTATAATGGGACATGCTTAATACCAGCTCTTTGAGAGGAAACCCCCAAAGAACTGCGTCTGCCAGTCCCTGGGTACAATGCACGGCACATTTCAAACTCTCAAGGCTGACTAACCAGCTAGCAAAATTCTTGAAAATGTAATAATTGCCTCTTGGAAGCTAAGAGTGGCAGTGCCAAGTTCTCAGTAGAGAAAGAGATTATGAACAACAGCAACAAAAGTGACACGTGGGAATGTGACTGGTACACTTGTTTATGGTAGAAGTCCCTACAACCTACATCCCTGGCTCTGACGCTTTGGGGAGGAGGCCTTAGCAGAACCCACAGTGGACACACAGTGTAAGACACACACTTCCATTGCTTGAAGCCTCTAAGATTTGGGGGTTGTTTGCTATTGAAGGATAACCTAGCCCATTCTGACAGATGTATGTGATAAGCACCTGCGATATAATGCACTCACTTATAACATACCTCCTGCCCTCAAGCCTCTTTCCACAGTGAGGAAGGGGGAAGCCATTTGGTCATAGGCACAGGCTGGAATTTGAGGCTGGTGACCCAGCTGGAGGTAAGTGGATTTGATAAATATCATCTTGTCTGTAGACTTCATTGTCTTCTAGGCTTTGATATTCTAAGACTCTTGATGCTCATCACCGGGTCACTGTCCATTCATCTGCTTTTTCAGTCTACCCAATGGCTAATTCATCAGGCTGGACCCAGTTCCCACCTTGTGGAGCCCATGTCAGGTCACAAGTGTCCCTGACATGTTAGAGAGAGAGAGAGAGAGAGAGAGAGAGAGAGAGAGAGAGAGAGAAAAGAGAAGAGAGAGAGATGGGGAGGGAGCCTATAGGCAGAGAGCCACTGAGCTGTCTTTCAAAGCCATCTTCATTTCAGAAACACTCAATTGGAAACATTTCTCCAAAGTCCCACCAAATGGGCCTCTGTTCCCACTTTAACACACAGACACAGACACAGACACAGAGGCACAGACACACACACATACACACACGCACACACTCTCAACTGGCCTGCTTTCTGCTCCTGGGTCCCCCAGGGGGCTCTGCCCTCTGCCCTCTGCCCTGTATCTTCTCTGGCTCACAAACTCCTGAAAGCTTTCAAGGCCACATGGAATCTGTGCGTACACCCTTAGGTTTCAAACAAATCCTGACCAGGACTCTCACAGCTCCATTGGGGCCTGTTCACACTCTACCACATACACTCCATATTCCTGGAGCCTTCTGGAGCCTTCTGGAACCTGCACTCACTCACTTGCCCAGCCCTCTCAGAGCTAGCACGCCAGGCAAGAGGGGTTGCGTTGTAGAGGAGACTGCTGCCCTTATGGGGTTCCTTCCAGGTTGTTGGTGGGTTAGACACAAGAGGCCAGAAGCACATGCTGGCCAGGAGCCCTGGGGGGTGGGGTGGGTGGCTGACCTTAGCAAAGTTTTGCCGTCTGGAAAGCATGGGAATGAGGAGGGCATTCCAAACATGTGTGACGGCATGTGTGAAGATGGCATGTGTGAAGGCCAGGGGTTAGGATAGCACACTGCTTTGGCGTGCTGGTGGGTGCTAGGTGACTGCACAGGAGGGACCTAGGGAAGAGGGTAAGGCCTATGGCAGGTGAGCTTAGGTCTTCTGTGAGTGAGTGAGTGACTGACTGACTGACTGACTGACTGACAGCCACCCTGCTGCCCTTGGCCACAGACTTAATAATTGGGTAGTGGGGCCAGAGTCCTTTCCTTGTCCCTTTGTGTGAGTGAAGCTCTGTTTGGATTCAGAGAGTTATGTTGGGCTAGTATAGAAGATTTCAGGGGTTCTTTCCTAAGTGGGATGGATCCTAGAATGAGCCAGTAGGGTTGGAGAGAGGATAGCTTTGAGCTGGGTTCTGGCGGTCTGTGGGAAGTGCCTCTGTGCAGAGTAGAAAGACTGATAAGACAGGAGCCTTGGGTTCCAGTTCTGCGTCTGTCACTTCCCAGCCATGTGTGCTTGGGTGGGTGTCTTTGGCTCTCATCCTATTAGGATAGCTGGGGTGGGGGGCTGATGAAGGAGGCTTGTTTGAATGTCCTGGATGCAGGGCTAGCGATGGATCAAACCTGGAACTTGGGTTGAGCATGAAATAGCAATTGATGTTCCTACTGATGGAGCTGGTGGCTCTGGATCTCTGAACACCTTAGGCAGGGCTGTGAGGTACTGGTTCATACCCACATGTAGGAGGGGCTTCTGTACACAGTAAGCTCTGCACCTGGAGCTTCCAGTTCTGTGGTGAATTTCTGCATGGCATCCTTTCATTTTGGGATTGTGTTTTGTAAGTGGAGCCCGATGGGGCTATGAGACACAGCAAGTCCCCACCTCTCACTGTCCTCTGCCTTCCTGGGTGGGCTCTTGACTGCCTGTCTCCACCTCCTGGTTCCAGGGCTACCTTCTACAGCAACTGGTTGAGTCAGCGGGGGAACACTCACATGCCACCCTGCAAGGGACCTTGGTGAAGTGGCAGGGTGGGATCCAGGGAGTGCCTGTGGCATCTAGACAGGGCATAGTGACAGCCATCCCTGTCTCCACTGGCAGCACGTGTTGCACTGGGTGGACGACTCGGCAGGTGTGGGGGTGTCCTAGTGTGGATGTTAGTGGGTAGCTGGAGGTTGAAATCTGGCTTTTCATGTCCACCAGGGGTTGAGCATGAGTCGTGGAAGGGGAGATGGACTTCCTTGACTGTGACCTTGGAGCCCTGTAAATAAAGTGGTTAGTTGATTGAATTCAGGGTCTGTTTCCCTTCCTCAGCTCAGAGTCCACAGTCATTTGGTGCTGTACTGGATGGTGTTAATCATGCTGGTGAGGTGAGGAGCAAGAGGTGCTCAGGTTACCCTGTGGTGGGGTGAGCTGCCTGTGTTCCCAGCAGTCAATGGCATTCCCTGGGGCACACTGTAAATTCAGGTTCCCATTCAGGAGTTCTGGGGTGGCCTGAGACCCTATATTTCTGGTGAGCCCTGGTGAGCTGTGGCTGTTGTTTCCTTCTGTGAGTGGCCAGGCTCCAGGAGGTACTTGCAGGACTTATGAGGCACAAGGAGGGGCCCACAAGAATGATCTACAGGTGACACTGCACCTCCAGAGTTGGAGATTGACAGTGGAGACACTCAGCCACTGTGTCCTTCCAGCATCTGACAGCTTCCCGTAATAATCTCACTCATCTTCCTCACCTCATCATCAGGTAAGTAGCAAAAGCTACCCCACATGCAAAGCAATGAAGAACACTGCAGTGGGGGATGAGCCCCAGGTGGCACGTGGTAAACACAGAGCCTGGTCTGACTGCAGGGCTGTCCACTCTGCCACCTTTCCCCCAAAGCTTAGAGGCAGGAACCAGACCCCATCCCTCATGTGGCCCTGGCCTGACGGTACCCGGGGTCTGTTCTGATCTGGGAGCCCTGGCTTGCAGTTACCTCTGCCTTCAGCCGTTCAATCTCGATCTCGCCATCCTCGATCTGCTGCCTCAGCTGCTTGGCCACCATCTTCTCCGTCTCCACTATCTGCAGCAGGTGAAGGTACTTCTGCATCAGTGCCTCATGCTCTGTGGCCAGTGTCCTGTAGCTGTGGACAGAGGTGTGTAGCAGGTGAGATGCTACCCCTTGTCTCCAGCCCCTGTACATCCCACTGCACACTGACCTCTGGTTCCTCCATTAGCCTGGCTCTCCCTGTTGCTTTTTCTTTGTTTTATCCCCTCCCACCCCTCTGGGACTCTGTCTAGGCAGACTGTCATTCTGAAACTTGTCCCTGACACTCCTTCCCTAGGCTAGCTGCATCCTTTTTCTTAGGCTACCTCTGGGCTCAGCTAAAATGCTGCCTCCAGGAAGCCTTCCTGTGTGAGCCCAGGGATTTTCTTTCAGTACTCAGGCTTCTGGGCTTCTAGGACCATGGTCATGATGACATGGATGGAGGAGGAGGATGGATGTCTGTGCCTAGCAGGTGCTCAGTGAACACTTGCTGCATGTGGGTATGCCTGCGAATGGATGGATGCATAAGGCCTTGTGGGATAGACAGAGGGCAGTCAGGCACACATATCTTACTCTTTAGGGGGGATGTCTGAAGGTCCTGGACAGGATGAGTGTTAAATGTGAGTCCTAGGTTTTTAGTGTGTGTCACGGAGGGGCGGCAGCAACAAGGACTTGTTATCAAGGAAGAGTTCAGGAGGTGCAGGCCCACCCCCAAGTTGGAACTGATACCCACTGCAGGCCAGCCTTGGGTGGGAGGCCTGTGTTGGAGGTAAATGGTAATGAGGCTGGGTACTAGATGGCATTGGATCAGAGAGGATTCTAAAGGACAGACAGCCTGGCATTGGCTTCCAGCCCCCATAGAAATTGGCTCCCTCTCTAGGGTCATCCACTGTCTCCTACTTCTCACTGACTGATGGGCCACTTTTCAGTTTGGCAGCTTCTGACATGACCACCCAGCCCTGAACACAGCTGGTCAGTGGGGCCAGGGCAGGAAGGTAGGTCTTTGTCCAAGACTTGGGAGCCTGCCACATGAAGTCACAAAGTCTGAGACTCTAAAGGCCACTTGGGATAAAGATAACTTCTTGAAAAGTCCCAGGTCTGTGGAGACTTTCAGGAGGCTGTGGTAACCTTGTGATATGAAAGGTGATGGTGTGAATAGGGCAGGTACAGACAGTCCTGTCCCCCGTTGGTGCTAGAAGGGGTCTTCTTGGGAGGAAGCTGGCTGTATCCTGATGATGGGGAGGATGTGATAGGACAGGGTTGGTGTCTATCAGGCTCAGTTCTGCTGGGGCAAGGGTAAAACACTGGGCTTGAGCAGGAACCTGGGGAAGCTGACCCCGTTCTTACCCATCACTCCTTGATGATCAGTATTGGGCTCTAAGAGAACTGTCTTTCTATTATAATACTATTAGATTAAAATGGTGATCTGGGTGCTTCTCTTATGAAAATGAATACCAGGTTTTAAGATCTTTCCAACTTTCCAGGAGACTTAATTTCCTTCACTTGTAAATAAAGTTCAGTTGAGAGAAAGGAATCTGTTTTCACAGCACCATGGCTCCCCACTCGGGCGTGAACGCGTAGCTTCTTCATTGGTCAAGTCTTACTAACTGCACACACCTCAGACTTCAGACAGGAGTCCATCTGTAGGTGATCTGCTGGTCTTCCTTCCTTTCCTCCTTTCTCTTCCCTTCATCCTTCTCCCCTTCCCTTTCCTTCCTTCATCCCCCTCCCTCCCTCCCCTTCCCTCCCCTTCCCTTCCTTTCCTTTTTTCTCCCTCCTATTAAGTTTTGAATCCGAAATGTCCCCTGAAGTTTCAGGGTTAAAGGCTTGGTTGTAACTGGTGGGCTTTTAAGAAATGATTGGATCATAAGTATTCTGATTTACTTAAGCATTCATTTACAGATAGATTCATAACTGAATGGCATCACTGGGAGGTAGTGGAAACTAGAATGTGAGGCCTGGTTTGAAGAGGTAAGTGGTAGGGGGTGGTTGCCTTTGGAGGGTATATATTGCTTCTGCCCTTTCCTGCCTCCTGTCTCTGTTCCCTGGCTGCCCTGAGTTGAGCAGAGCTTTCTCTGCCATGCATGCCTAATTACAGTCCTACAGAAATGATGGAAGCTGACTGTGCACTGAAACCTTTGAAACTGTGAGCCAAGATAACTCTTTCTTCCCTCAAGTTAATTGGGTATTTTGTCACAGAAGTGAAAAGCCAAAAGCAGAGGGGAAAAACAACAACAAAGCCCCAACAACACTGGGAGTGAGGGCACTGCTGTGACTGCTACCTAACCATGGGGTTCAGAAACCTCCGTGGCAGATTTTATTGGGGAGGTTTGGAGATACGAGCTAAAAAGCCTGAGACAGCTGCTGGCAGGGTGTTCTGGTGAGAGGAGGCCAGAATGCCGATGGGAATGTGGAGAGAGAAGACCATGCTTGGGAGGTTTCAGATGGAAAAAGGACTAGGTCAGCAAGTGGACTAGAGACCATTTATGTTATGTTCTGGCAAAGAACCCATCCAAGCCTTTGTGAGAGTGGCCTAATGACACTAGAGGAGGAAGTAGTCCAGCATCAAGGCTATGCCGTCAATATTGTGGTTGCTTCTAGCTTGACTGACAGTGAGAATCACAAACATAATGCAGAGCAAAAAGATTTGAAAACCTTACATGTAGCCAGAAAATAAGCATGTGTAAGGTAGGGGCCAAGTAAAGTGTGGTTGCTGAACAGATGTAGCACCGTTAAAAAGAGGCTAATGGGCCGGGAGACGGCTGTCAGCAAAGCACTTGCTATGTATGCAAGCATGAGGATCCGACTTGGATCTCCAGTACACAGGCTAAAAAAATAAAACAGGTGTGGTGCCATACATTTGTAATCTCAGGACTAGAGAGGCAAAGACAGGCATGTGTCTGGGGTTCCCTGGCCAGTCAGCCTTGCCTACTTGGTGAGTTCTAGGCCAGTGAGAGACCTTATTTCAAAAATATGTACAGTGACCATGGAGCAACACTCAAGGTTGTCCTATGGCTTCCATACTCACACTCAGGTGTGTACATGCACAGACACACAGACACCGACACACAGACATATAGACATAGACACAGTCTCTTCTCTCTCTCTCTCTCTCTCTCTCTCTCTCTCTCTCTCTCTCTGTCAACTTCTTTGCATTAGGACAATAGGAAAGATGTCTTGAGGGTATACTAGGAATTGGCCAGACTCCAGCCAAGATTTTGCTTTGAGAAGATACTTCAGGAACCAGGAACCTATGGGAGTTCCTTTCCATATTCAGTCGTTCAGGCACTCTGTGGCAGATGCAGCTCCAGGTCAAGTGGATGTGGCTACTGCTTGAGCTGTTATTGTCCATAGGCATGCAGCATGTAAGAGTTGTGGGGTCACAGAAGCTTACCCCCAGATTTCAAGGGAAGCCCTGGTAGGCCAGGCAGTGTTTGGCAGGGTCAGAGTCCCTGAGCAGTCCCTGAGAGGGTGCTGGGGGAAGTTGTGAGAGCTGAAGCTGAAGCTTAGTGGGGGCCTCTGGATGTGGCCTCAGGATGTTGGAACGTAGAACATCTGCTGAGGAAAGATGCAAGAAGTGAGCAGACTCTGAGAGAGGTCTTGTGAGCTGCAGCCTATAGGGGTGGGACTTTCCAAGTCCTTTGGAGTTCATATCACGCTTGGATACCCAGACATGGAGTTACATGATATAATAATGTTTGCCCTGCTCACCAATAATAGTTGCCTTGAATCATAAGAGGAGAGTTTGGACTTGGACTTCTGAGAAACTGTTAAGACTGTGGGGACACTAAGAGATAGAATGGATGCATTTGATATTATGAGATGGCCATATGCCTTTAGGGGCCAAATATTATGATTTGATTAGAAATGTTCCTCATAGGTTCATGTGTGAAGGCTTGGTTGCCAGCAGATGGGCTTTTAGGAAGCCATCATGAGGGCTCTGACCTACGCAATGAACCAACCTTTGAGAAATTCGTAACTGCATGGACTGTTGGGAGGTGGTAGAAACCATGGAGGGTTGGTCCTGATTGGAAGAAGTAGGTGGCTGGGGAGTGTGCCTTTGAAGGTTTTGAAGGGAATATATACTTGGTTGCTTGTTTCTTTTGGTCTTTTTTTTGAGACAGGGTCTTCCTATAGCCCCAGCTGGCCTGGAACTCACTATGTAGACCAGGCTGGCCTTGAGCTCACAGAGATCTGCCTGCCTCTGCCTCCTGAGTACTGGGGTTAAAGGTGTGTGCCACCACACCCAGTTGAAGGGTATATATTTTGTTCCCAGATTTTCCCTCTCCTCTCTGCTTCCTGGCTGCCATGAGGGAACAGTCTCTCCTCTGTCAGACTCTCTGCTATTATGTTTTTTATATTGACACAGGCCAATCCTGGACTGAAACCTCTGAAGCCATGAGCAAAAATAAACTTTTCTTCCTGTAAGTTGTTTATCTTAGGTATTTGGTAACAGCAATGCAAAATACCCTTCCCCTTCTTCTTCTCTCCTTCCTTCCTTTCCTCCCTCCCTTGATCCCTTCAGTGAAGACAGACTGAGCCACTCCTGGTGCCTGCACTGTCTTTATGAACTTACAGACTTTCAGAGCTAGAAAGGAACTCAGGGATCATGAAAGGTCGACTGTATGATTTGATAAATGAAGACACTGAGGTCCAGGGAGGAGAAGCAATTTGCTCTGAACAATAGTTGGTCAGTGTCAAAGCTGGAGGCAGAATCAGCATTAGGGCCGGAGAATGTATTTCACCTTTCCCGATCCCCAGTGTCTGGACTGGCATCTAGTTCTCACTGAAATGTAGACCACGGAGTTCTCTGACTGTTGTATTTTATAAACCACTATATGCATAACTACAGAGGCATCCCTAATACTAGACTATGATACATTCAGTGCGAAAGAACATTGTGTCTCTACATGATATTAATATACCACCATGCTTATTTTTGTACATAGAATGTATCTATTAAGTATATGTAAATAAAACCTAAATTAAGAATATGTAAAAATATTTGATACTCAATATGGCTGTGGCAGAAAGCCAGTTGCTGTACACACACACACACACACACACACACACACACATACACACACACACACACACGCACACACACTGTTGTAGAGCAAAACAGCCACCATCTTTATCAAATCAGCTGTGCTTACTTGCAAGAGTCTATCACAATCTGGCTTGTCGCTTGTTAACACTGTCCCATAGAAGGAGGGACTGGGGAGGGTAATTGGACCTTCAGCTAAGATTCCAGCCACTCCCCCAACTCATTTATTTGCAATTCTGCCCTAATTACATGTAGCTTCAGGATCTCAGGAGGTGCTAGAGTGCATAGCCTAGGGAAGGTGATAGGAGGGGGCTGGATTCACGTGACCGTGAGGAAGTCATCATCCATGCTGGGTGTGAACTTTTCAGTTTGGCTGCTTTAGGGTCACTCACACTCCTGTCAATGATCCTTCACTCATGCTGTATAAGTGAGTCCAGTAAATTCATTGGGACATTAGGACCTTAGAAGGAGGAGGTAGATCTTTACATCTCCCTGGGAAGGAATTCTTGTGACACATGCACACATATGCACATGCATGAACACGCATGCACACATAGAGATGCATGCACACACTATGAGGTTGACACTGAATAAAGCTCATAGTCTTATCGCCTGACTCCCTGATTTGAGCCTCATGAGGCCTTGGGCAAAAACCTCAGCTGAGCCTGCACTTCTGACCCACAGAACTGTGAGATAATGAAAGGATATTTCAAGCTGACAAGCCTGTGGTGAAAACTAAAACATTCTAATATATATTATTCATTTTTGAAACTTGAGGTTGAATATACGTATTTGAAAAGCACAGCAGTTAACTGCACAGGGTCGAGATAGGCAGGAGGAGGGATAGCTTAGCAGCCTGGGCCTCCACTTGGCTTGGGCTTTACTCACACCTCTGGACTAATAATGCACTTTGCAGCCTGAGACCCTTAATTGCACACACCCCTGCCTGAGGGATGCACCTAGTCACATGTTAGCCACCCATGACCCCCATCTGCACTGATTTGCATGCTCCATCTACTCTGAACAATACAAGGTTTCTCCTTCCTTTAACAACCATCAAATTTAGCAGATTCTATTCAGCCATACTCTAGTTATGTTCAGGTATGAAGTGGGGAAGCTGATCTGGCCTGAACTAGTTTTGGGTGTGTGTGCAATAAGGCAAACTGTGTCTTCAAAGTAAACTTTTAAGGATAATCCCCTACTTACCATCTTATGACTATGTGTAATTGGGCATGTATATGATTAAAATGAGATGCATCATGGGAAGAGACATGCACAGTAGAAGAGCTTATATAACTTAGCTGTCAATCAAAATAAAGAACCACTCACACTATACCCCATAGCAACCAAACTCCTCCTTCGCTTGAACCCCATAAAAGGAAGCCCCAAACAACAATTGGCGCCTTCAGTATCTTCCCTCACGTGGTTTGATGTCACTCTTGACAGTGAATCTGGCCTGTTCTATCACTTTGCTTTGAATAAAGTTCCCTTGCTGCTTTTACAAATCGGTGTGAGCCTTTAGTTCAGTTCTTTGAATAAGAGGCCAAAAGCCTGGAAACACCTGGCCCAGGTCCAAAACACTAGAAACAATTTGATCAGTTTTGATAAATACGTAAATCCTAATCAAGCAAGACAAAGCTGATTTCCACCACCCAGGAAGTCCTTCCCAATCATTTCTCACTCCAAAAGTAACTGATATTCTGGTTTCTACCACTCTGGCTAGTTTTGCCTGGTCTAGAATCTCAAGTGACTGGAATCCTACATCACATTCTTTTTTCTATAGTCACTCAGCATATTGATTTTGAAATTCATCCATTTTGTTGTGCATAACCGTAGCTGATTCATTTTTATTACTCAGCAATATTCCATTGCACGGATGCACCGAGGCTTGTTGACAGACCCCATGGCTGATGGCTGGGCATAAAACTGTTAAGAGCATTTACATCTGAGACTTTTTATGGTCATGTTTCATTCCTCTTAGATAAGTACTAGGGAGTGCAACTGCAGTTAGGAGAGCACACGGTAAGCAGGTGCCTAATGATGTCCCAGTTTGTGCCATTTTACCCTCCTGCAGCACCCTGAGGGTTGTAGTGCTTCTAGCCCTTCACTAGCATTTGGTACTGTCAGTTTTGATCATTTTAGCGATCTACCATAGAGATACTGATACTTCATTGTCTCTAGAGATTTTTTGTATTGATGAATAAACAATTTAAAATTCTAATGCTTTGGGGCTTGGAGATGGCTCGGCAGGTAAAGGTACTTGCTGCCTGACAACCTGAGTTCAATCCCCAAATTCTACATGGTGGAACTCCCACGTTGTGTCCTCCCTATACACACATACACATATGCACAGAAATAGACAAATTGAAAAGCCCTCAAATGCTTAAATACTTATGAAGTCTCTTTATGTAATAATTTCATTTGACATTCAAGTGCTGTTTGCACCTAAACAACAAACCCTCTTATTGATTCTGCTTTGATGCTGGGAGACCGAGATTCAATTGCCCTCCCCGAATCTGGGTTGTTCTTCACTAAGTTTCATCCTTGTCCCCTGCAATTTCTGTTCTAAATCACAGCTCTCATCATGTTACTCTCCTGGTGTAAAACCTACAGTGGCTCCCCACTGTTCACAGATGAAAGGTCAGACATCTCTGCAGGAAGTCTCATATCAATTATGGTCTCATGCCAGCTGTCCACCTCATATGGAGGTCAGAGGACAACTTGTGGGAACCAGTTCTCTCTGGGAGATGACCCAGAACTTCAGGACCAAATGCTGGATTCTGCCAAGAGATGTTTTAACAGCACCCACTCGTCCCTCTCTCTTTTCCCTTCCCAGCTCCTTCTCCCAGGGCTTGGGCTTGCAGAATAGCTTGGTCTCTTCTGCCTGCACAGCTGGGCAAGGTGAGACATACCTGGCGTGAGCAATGGCTGCCACCCACTCATCACAGTCCTTTGCATCCTCAGTCCTCAGTTCCAAGGCCTTCTGGTTCTCATGGGTGAAGTTCACTGTGAAGTAATGCTGCACCAAGAAGAAGACATCTCCAGTTACTAGGGTGTCCTCAGTCCTGCAGAGCTTCCTGCTGTCCATCTGGCTGTCATGCTGAGTGCCGGCTGCCATGGCAGCCAGGCCCTAATGCATTCTTTGTGATCACTGGAACACCATCCTATTTAGTAGTTTCAAACGCTCCATCAAAAGGCTTTTGTGTGATGCAACAAAACTTATGCTTAGGATGTGATAAGGAAGCGAAATCCACAAAGTCTTATTTGCCAACAAATTCTAGAAAAGCCAGTTTGAAACCACCAGGCATGCTGGACGGACAGCAGGGACAATACACTGAGGGAGCATCTCCTTGGGGGACTGGGTACCCATTCAATGCAGCATGTCTTTACTCCGCAAAAACGGACTAAGCATTCTTTTAGATGCTGGGGTGACAGCAGCAATTCAGGTACAACCTCCAGGAAAGCTTACAGGGAGCCACTTCCGTGCTAGGTGCAGGTGACTGACTTAAAGCCGAGTCAATCACGGGGCTGGCCCCCTGAGATCTCAGGGAAGCCAGGTAAGAGACACATCTGTGGGGTTGTTATGGGAGTTAAATACCCGTAAAACTCTTGGAACAACACCTGCTACTTAGTAAGCACCACCTGAGTGTGTGTGGTAATTAATGCAGTATGATTGCTATCACACTGGAGGTGAAAGGGTTGTGGGGCACAGAGAGAGTCACCTGCAGATTCAGCTTAGGGAGGACGTGTCCTGGGCCCTGGTTCAATTTCAGTTGGCTGAACAACTGTGTGGGGGAGCATGGTTACCTAGAGCCTGCTCGGGAACATGAGGAGGACACAGTGCAGTCTGACAGAAGGCGCAGGGGTGCTCATGGGCAGGAGCTCAGGGGTACAAAACTTAGGGAGCAGATGAGAGAAAAGGGGTGAGGATGAACCCTGGTTTCTGGTTTGAGCAACTGGGGTGCCAGGGGTGGGTGGGAAATTGACAAGCTGTCAGGATCCCTGGCCAGCCTTAGGGTGGGGAAGGAAGTTGGAGAAAACTCAGAGGGAGGAGGAGGACTCCAAGTTCAGGGCCACCTGCAGCTGCTTCCTGGGAAGGTGGGGGGGCGGGTGCAAAGAGGGGACTTGGGCTTGCCCTTTGAAGGATGTACCAAATGGGGGCGTGCCTGTTCCTCTGTCTTTTGGTGTCCAAGTGGCTGGGAACAGCAGCAGCACCAGGTGCAATGTTAACTAATTTTAGTCTGTGACTTCTACTGTATTTTTGTTACTTGTCATTCTAGGTGATAGCCGTGTGTGTGTGTGTGTGTATGTGTGTGTGTGTGTGTGTGTGTGCGCGTGTGTGTGTGTGTGTGTGTGTGTGTGGGGAGAGAGAGAGAGAGAGAGAGAGAGAGAGAGAGAGAGAGAGAGAGGAGAGAGAGAGACTTGTTGCAGAGTCAATGTCTCCCTTTGTCTCCTAGGAAACCGATAACTGAGGCTATAACATGAAATGTCAGCTCCAGCCTTGAATAACTGAATCTGGATGGCTCCAGCGGGCACAGGCCCTGTGGGAAGGAAGCAGGTTAAAAGCAGAGCTGCAGGTGGCCACTTAGCTCCTTCTAAGAGAGGAGAGATGAGAAGCCTACAAAGGCTCATCTTGCATGATCTTGTTTTGTGCCATATCCACTAAGTGGTACAGGTATGATCTGTTTTCCGCTGAAGCTTTCTGAGAAGCTGAAGCCACAAGTGGAAAGCAAAGGAACTGAACTGCTGGGTACAAGTTTCCTTTCTCTTACTGAATACTTTCTATTAGTTAGTCGAGCAACACGACTCTTTAAAACCAGGCATCGGGGAAGTTTTGTTTTGGTCTTTTTTGAGACAGGGTCTCCCTGTAGACCCAGCTGGCCTGGAACTTACTATGTAGACCAGGCTGGCCTTGAACTCAGAGATCCGCCTGCCTCTGCCTCCCAAATGCTGGGACTAAAGGTGTGCACCACCACACCCAGCACGTCAGGGGAAGTTTTATGGTCCAGAAGCCTGTAAGGAGTATAATGTAGGACATAAGTCTTGGGGTTCTAACTCAGAAACAAGACCTTCTCAGTTATATGCAGGCACACGTTTAGGGGTTCCCTTAGAGCCCCAAGGGGATGTTCCCAAGTTGGAGGACCCTCTCCAGACACTGTGACTCAGAGTAGGCATGGTTTCCTTCCTTCCTGGGCTTTTCTAGGAGGTGAGCTCTGACAATGGGCTGGGCTGAGACCCCCTAACTCCTAGAGAATTCTTGCCAACTGGTGCTGCTTGGTGGAGAAGCAAAGGGCTCTGACACCCTGAGTTCTGCAACCTCATCCCTGTTGGTCATTTAACCAAAAACCAGTAAAGTGTCAGAAGACCTGAATACTCAGGTGATGACCTTGGCATTCTGCCCCTCAGGTCAGTGCCAGGCCTCCTAGCAAGCTGGCTGGAGGCCACCAGAGACTTCTATGCCTCTTGCCTTCCACCTCCATAGCTAGTTACCAGTGTGTTGTTCTGTCCATCTGACCTCTGTGTGGCCTTGCTTGGTCCTTTTCCCTGATGTTCTAGGTAAGACACAGGCTCCAAGCAAGAGTCCTTGCCTCTGTGGTTCTCCTTGGAGACAGCTAGATTCTGGGTGAGCAACAGGTTGGAGGGTCAGGTGAAAAATGGCCAGTTAGGTGGGGTGGGCATGAGGTCATGGAGCAGGCATGGCTGCGACCTAGAAAATTCCCCGTGTCTCAAAAGCAGCAGGTACCAGGTGCCAGGGTGAGAACTAAGGAATGCTCATCTTCAGGGCCTGGGCCAAAGGGTCTGAAGTTCTTGGGGGCTGGGAAGTCTCAGCATTCAGGGGTCAAGGAGCCTGCACCCCAGGCTCCCTTTTTAGTACAACTTCCTGCACCAGAGACATACAATTGACCAAGGAGTCGATTGTATTCTCCCTGTCTAGTGGGGACAGTATTTTGTCCAAGGTCACCCATCCAGAAATAGCATTACTGGAGACGAAACCTGGGGCAGCTTTTGGCTGTGGGGAAGCCGCAGCTGAACCATCAGTGTCTCAAGTGGCCCGAGACAGAAGCTTGTTTCCTTGTGTCTGTAAGCCTTCCCCTGAGAGTTGGTTTATATGACCATGTTGCTCCACTGACTAGTAGAAATTAGTCAATAAAGTGAAAGGAAACCTGTGCCCAGCAAGTCTGCATTACTACACATCGGGTTGAGGGCAACCCAAGGAAGGAACCTGAGCTGCATGGGACTTGTGGGGCTCAGAAATAGAGATGGAGATGCAGAGAGACAGGAATGAGGAGGAAGGAGGAAGGGAGGAATAGTGAGCACAACACCAGTGCAGACGCAGAGGCAGGCATAAGGGTCCTGGTAAAGAGCAAAGCCCTTGCATACAGGGTCAAAGGTGAGTTCTAGGCTCCCGAAGATCCTAGAAGGCAGGCTGGAGAATTGAAAGAGGCCAAATGACAAATCGGATGTCTAGAACTGTGTGCAGAAAATCCCGATGAGCAACACCTGTGGGGAGCAGGAGGGCCACTGTGACCTCGTGGGTACATGTGCTGTACACAGGCACTGTCTGCTTCTTGTGGGAGCCAGAGGTCATGGGAGAGGTGAACTGAGCCTCACTTCTTATGGGGGGCTGAAGCCCAGGTGTGGGGCACCACTAGGATCAGAGTCAAAGGTCACATCAGCTGGGTGGTCAGGCCAGGGTCCTCCCAAGGTACTCTAATGTTCTCTTCAGTCATGGGGAGGAGTTCCTCAGTTAACTAGGGCTAATGGGAGCCTGGAAGTGGAGGCTGGCCTAATGTCGGTTTTGCAGGCGACCCAGAGTGTGGCTTGGGGCAAGTAGGTCTGTTCCTCCTTGTCACCCTTGGCTTCCTTACCTGTGATATGATAAGTTAGGCTCTGAGGTCTTCCTGAACTCTGTGATGTGAATGTAGACACACACACAAACACATTTGGACAGACAGACACACATACTATATACCTACACACAAGCTATATATCCCCCACCAGACACAGTACACACACATACACACACGAACCAATAGACACATATATACCATATACCCACATATTAAATATACCCACACATGAGTAGACATAGACATACCATATACATACCAAATACCCACACAGACACACCACACAAAAGTACATAGAGACAGACTTATATACCAGATATACATATACCACACACATATATCCATAGCATCTATACACGCAGATATATACCACACACAGATATATACATACATAGGCACACATATACACATATGAACAGATAGACACCACACACAGACACATACATACACATATACACATGCATACACACATGAGCAGACAGACAGACAGATACCATACATAGACACACACACACACAGTTCTATTTGGAGAATATGGAAGAATAATGAATGTGTATGTGCTCTGGGTCTTTCCTTTGGTCTTCTCAATCCTTTCCATGGCCTTTGGGGGTGTCTAGGCATGCTTCTGGCCCCAAGGTCAGGTATACAACCACCATGTAATCTGAGGGGCTGGGCGTGGTACTATGTCCTGTGGTCAGCCTGGCTGAGGTTGGGGAAGCCCCTCTGGGCCCCAGGGTCACACAGACCAGGGATTTAGGGTCTCAGGGAGGAGTCTGTGGGGATCACAGGCGTGGCCTGGCTCAGGCTGGGGGCTGTGTTGTCTGTGGACACTGTCCCTCCCTTCATTCACAGGACCACTTTATCTCAGAGGCCTCTCCTGTCTTGGGGATCTCACAGATGCACTGACCCATGGGCCTCAGGCTGCTCAGAACCTGGGCCTATATGATCTGTGGTATCCAGAGCTCTAGCCAGTGCTGGTTCTGAGTGAATGGTAAGGGGCTGAAGAGGGAGGAGATGAGTGATGAGGCACCCAGCACACTGTGGTCCTCCCTCAGCTCATTAATAATGACACCGACACAATCCTCCTGAGCATGTGCCCTGCACCTGCCGTGCTGCCCCATATGAGCCCCTGAGAAGAGGGCGAGACCCTGAGTTTGTTGCCCTTAGT